CTATTTTATTTTTTAACTATTTTCCTCTTCTTTTTCCTTTTTATTTATTTCCTTTTTCTTAAAGCAAGCCCTTTATCATTTGTTGCAATACTGGTTTGGTGATTAACAAACTCCTTTAGCTTTTTCTTATCTGAAAAGCTCTTTATTTCTCCTTCAATTTTAAATGATATCCTTGCTGGGTGAAGTCACCTTAGGTGTAGGTCCTGCTTCTTGTTTCTTCTAAAAGAAATTCTTCTTTACCCTGAGATCATAAATATATTATTTATTTTTTTGGAAAAGTTTTATAGTTTTGATTTTCATGTTGAAATCATTAATGCATAAATATGCTGCATGTTAAGGATCAGTTTTCTTTTGTATGCTATGGATGACCTAATTTACCAGCCTCATTTATTATATGCCCTTTCAACCCTATGTGCAGTATCAGCTCTGCCTTTAATCAGGTTTCTGTATGTTTATGGGTCTCTTTCTGAGTTCTCTATTCTATTAGCTGTCTGCGTGATCAACACCATATTGCTTAAATTACTGTATCTTTAAAATAAATTCTGACCTGCTATGGCAAATCCACCAGCCTGCTTCTTCAGAACTGCCCTCACTGAATCTTCTTGACTCTGTGTTTTCATACAAATTTAGAATCAGCCTGTCAGATTCCATAAAAATGAAACAAAACAAAACAAACAATCCCTCGTTCATATTTTGATTGGAATTAAAGACTTTACTACATTTTCACTGTCACTCACTCTCATGTCCTCATTTCCTTCCTCACCCAACTTGGATTCTATGTATAATCACTTCCTTGCAAATACCCTAAACTCCGCTGTCACTCTTTCTCATCTTTATACTTTCACCACATAATTGCTTACTCTTTGCCAGTACCCAATCAGCTAAAATTGCTGAAGAAAAACAAATAACTATGCTGAGTGGTTTCATTTAAAAATTCACGACCGCAAGACTCAAATAGGCACTCAAAACTGTTTAACATTCTACTATACACCATTCTCCAGAATTACCTCTATCATACTTTTCCCTCTCTTCTCAAGCCTCTATTCCTCTCTCCTTTTTTTTTTTTTTTTTCTGCTCTTAGCTGATAATCTTCCCTCACACTTCATTGAAAAAGCCAGAGCAAGGAGTAGAAATGCCTTTATTATCCTATCTTCAAATCTATCTACCCCATCAGTCCTGGTTTCTGCCCTCTCTGTTGTTACTAAGAAACTCACTGTTCCCATCAAAGGCCAGCTCCTTCCTTGTATTCTGGATCTCGTCCCCTCATGTTTTCAAGATGTCTCCTTTTGCATTCTTTCTTTTCCATATCATCAAGTTTTCACTTTTGGTTGACTAATTCCCATCAGCATAAAAATAGGCTCTATTATCAAACCAACAAATAAGCATAACCTCTTAGAATCTCTCCTTTCAGCTAATAAGGCAATATAATATAGTGGTTATGAATACAAACTCTGGTATCAGACTTCCTGGATTCAAATTTCATGACCCTGGGCAGACTGTCCTGTCCAGTACAACAGCCACATGTGGCTATTTACCTTTATGTTTATATTAATTAAAATTAAATATAATTAAAAACTTAGTTTCTCTTCCATACTGATGGTCCAGCTAGAGAACTGTGCCAGCATTGCTGAGGGTTCTGTGGGGTATATCAGTGCTCTAGAATAGCTGCACTCTTCCCCTCTTTCTTTAAAATATTCATTTATTTTTAAAATTTTTTACAAAGTTTAATTTATTTATTTTTCCAGTTTTATTGAGATATAATTGATATATAATATTGTGTAACTAAGAGTTTAAGAAATACCACATGTTGATTTGACACTCATATATTGCAAAATGATCACCACATATTGTTACCTAACACCTTCAACATGTCACATAATTACTATTTGTCTTTTGTGGTGAGAGCATTTATGATTACCTTTCTAAGTATATTATGTTATACCAATATTTTTATTATTGCACTTATCACCATCTGATATATATATATATCTATATATGTACATATATATAGCTAAACAGCAAAAAATATATATATTTTTATATATGTAAAAATATATATATAAGAAAAAATATATTTTGTTAGAACAACTCAGCAAAATAAAGTTCCAGTTTATTGTTGGATAACATTGTTTATTGGCTAACAGGCCAATAAATAAATAAATAAATAAACAGCAATTTCATAGACAAAAAAAGGGAAAAAAAGCAACCTTTTATCTTTGGCCTTTTAAACCATCTCACACAAACCAACTACTTATAGCACAGCTAACTACATACACAAGAAGTTACTGGAATTTCGGAATAAGATTGTTTTGTTGTCGTTTTTGCTTTTTTTTACAAGGTTTTCTTTTTTTATTTAGATTATAATGAACATGGTCACACCACAAGTAAAGTCGGAAGTAGGACAAGAGAACACTCCAAAGGCTGATTTTGTCATCCCTAGATTGTTAAAAATGGCTGACCCCTAACAATATGTACAAAAATATAAAATGTAAATAAAAAATACAAACAAATTTTCCTTTTTAAAGTACTGTTAAGAAAAAAGCAGGGCCTTGGAAGTTTTAGTTTTTTTCCTCCCCTGTTGCAAATTCACGTTGTGGTTTCGGTGGGTGGTGGAGAGCGCTTGCCACCTGCGGGAGGCGCTGCCTGCAGTGGGTGGGCAGGACTCTCTTCGAAGGTGACCACGTTTAGATTCTGAGGCGGAAAGTAGAGGGTGAATAAGTCACGGTGGATCCCTTTTTTTTTTTAAGTTTAACTTTTCCTTTTTTGCTGTTTAGTCATCCTCATCAGTGTTCTGCTTCTTGATGGCAACATCGTCATCCTCATCACCTTCAGCTGCCCGTTTGCCCCTAGCTGCCTCGGCCTCCTCATCCTCATCCCCATCCTCTTCCTCACCATTACTTTCCTCTTCTTCCTCCCCTCCTTCTTCCTCTTCTTCATCTGCCTCATTGTCAGCCTCCTGCTCCCCATTTTCCTCATTAGCTTTGCCGTAGCATCTCTTCAACTCTCTGCCTCTTCCACAACTTCCTTCTTCTCCTCTAAGGCCTTGGTGGTGATATCGGAGCTGGTATCCACGGCCGCGTCTGACCTGGTGGGCACGCCGGTGATACTACGCAGCGAATTTTTAAAAAGCAGCGGGAGTTCGAGGACTCTGGCGAAAATGCTGCCGGAGTCCCCCCGCGACTCAGGAGGCGCGCCGCGGAGGTGGCTGCAGCGAGGGGAGGGGCAGACACAGAGACAATGCAAAGATGGCTTTTCAGAGCAGCCAGTGGGGGCATCTGATATATTTTATGTTCTCTTATTTGTTCATTTCCCCCTCTATCTTCTCCTATCTGAATGCAAGCTCCCTGGGAGCAGGTTCTGCTTCACCATTTCATTCTCAATGCCTAGAACAGTGTCTGGCTTTACTGAGTTGAATAAATATTTATTCAATAATGGGTGATCAGACATTATAAAACTTTGGTCTGGTTCGAGAAATGTTTCCCTAGACACAGCATACTCATTTTTATATTGTTTGTGGATATTAGCTGTGGCATATTGAGTGAGGGATATAGTACATTACTAATATTTAGAAGTTGATGGACTTCAAGGAAAAGCAACTATGCTGAGCCTGGGAGACTGGGTCCTTGTCATTATCCTATGTCAGCTGGGGAATATTAAGAACCGGCATAGGCCTGATTAGAATATTTGAAAGTGTAGAAATTAGAGAACACATGTGAACCATTGTTGAGGAATTAAAGACTTTACATGTGAGTTTAGTTGCTTTGGAATTGGGCTACCTCCATTCTCGAGAATTTTTGTTGTCTTATTGCCTATGACAGCGAACAATTGGAAACAACTTAAAGGTTCACTAATATGGGAATAAATAAATACATATGGTACACTCATACAACGGAGCATCATGGAACAATAAAATGACTAAACCAGAGCTTAAATTATCAGTGTGAATGGCTCTCAGGTTAAGTACCTTCCAGCCTGGGGAAGCATCATATGCCCAACTTTGAAAGGGATCAGTAAATACCATCCTGAAGAAGTGAACATTTTTTTTTAAGAAAATTGTATAGATAATATTAAAGGTACTCTGAGGCCTGGGTGGTGGTTCAGTTGCTTGGAGAATTGTCCCATGTGCCAAAAGGTTGCAGGTTTGTTTCCCAGTCGGGCACATACGGAGGCAACCGATCAATGTTTCCTGCTCTCTCTTTCTTCCTCTCTCCCTAAAATCAGTAAAAATGTCCTTGGGTGAGGATTAAAAAAAAAAAAGGTACTCTGAGATACACTAATGCTATGTCTAGGAATTTACCCTTTATTTGTTGGTTAAGTGACAAACCATTGACAACTCTGAGGAAATGGAATGACATGGTTGATTTGATCTCTTTGAATGTTAATCTGACTGGTGTGCAGGGTAAACCTAAATAGGGAAGAGTAGAAACAGGGAGCTCAGCTAGGAGATTATTTCAACAGTCTAGCAGTTAGCAGGTGAAGGCCTCAGGCGAGTTGGTAATAACGGAGATGGAGAAAGTAAAGAACTAAAATTTTCCAGCAGGGTATGTATTATATTACTGATCACATTTTACAAAGGCCCAGAGAGGTATGTTTTATTCTGCTTGGGCTACCATAACAAATTGCAATAGACTGGATGGCTCAAACAACAGAGAATTATTTCTCACAATTCTGGAGGCTGGGAAACGCATGATCAAGGTGATGACAGGGCAGATTTCATTCTGAAGCCCTCTCTTGGCTCCGCGGCAGCCTCCATCTCACCATGTGCTCACATGACAACAGCTCTCTGGAGCTTCTCATTCTAAGGGCACCCATCCCACCCTGACCTTCTCTACTCTTAATTATGTCCCAAGCCCTCATCTCCAAACATCAGTATTCTGCAGGTTGGGGCTTCACCATGTGAATTTTTTAAGGGACACAAACATTTAGTCTATAAAATCATTTGTCCAAAGATCTCATAGATGTTAAGTGCCAGAACCTGCAATCAAATCTAGGTCTCTTTTTGTCCCTGGCCTGGGTAGAGTGGTCCCTGGTTTGGTGGTGCATGTCTCATATCAGCTGGGGACAAAGTAACCCCTTGCTTATCCCAGCCTGGCTTTTGGTCTGTGCACATGCTGGTTCATGCCCAGGATACATGGGGAAAAAAATCTAGGCTTTTCTTTTTACTCAAAAATTTGTGTTGAAATTTTGAAAAATTGATCAAAACAACTTGAGGGGTGATTGGATTTAGAAGATGAAAGAAAAGGAAGGATAAAAGAACAATGAGGTTTTGTTTGCCAGTGAAGTGTTTGATGGAAACTGGAAATTTGCAAGGGTAAGCTAGTTTGATGGAGAATAAAACGAGTTCATTGTGGGAGAAGGAAAGTTTGAATTGTTGGTGGGCCATCCAGTGCAGATGGTTTCTAGTCTGTTGGAACTCTGGTGGATTATTGGAAGTGCTCACATCTGACATGTGGAAAGTCATTTGCACAGAAGTGGTAAAGTCTGCAGACAGCACTTCCCATAAGAATGAGTACAAATAAAGAGCAGACAGACATTGTGCACTAAAAATGTGCTGAGAGGGTAGATACTTCATATTAAGTATTCTTACCACAATTTAATGAGAAAGAGAGAGAGAGAGAGAGAGAGAGAGAGAGAGAGAGAGAGAGAGAGAGAGAATATGACTGTGTCTTTAGGAGTACCCAGACTTGCGACTTTTCACTTCGTGAAATAGAAGGAAACCAACAAGGAAAACCATAGAGGAGCAATTAGAGGAGAAAAACTTGTTGAGTTTCTTTGTTTTTTTTTTTGCCACTGGGTCCTGTTCATTGAAGGGAGTTTCAGGAAGACAGGGCAGTTAAATATGTCAAATACAATAGCGTTGATTAAAGAGGATGACAGCTGGGCACTGCATGGTTGTAATCTGTGCTCAATGAAAAAACCATAGGGTTAAAAAGAGATCTTTTAGAAAGTTTGGTTTGCAGATTTTTACATTTCACAGACCTGTAATATTTCAAAAAATATTTAAGGGAACTAAATATTTTTTAAAAAGCCATTCAAAACACCACAATCTCTTATCAACCTCATTTTCATAAAAGAAAAAAAAACTTTTAACATAAGTTTAGAGGGCCATAATCATAGGGTAAAAGATGGTTTATCCAAAGGGCAGCACTCGTGGCCAATCTTGGACTAAAGTAGATCTGAGAGCTTGCACTTGGGAACCACTGGAACAACATATGTGGTGTCTCTTCTAACTCACACTCCTGGTAAATTGGTGTGCTCTTGTTTTTTAAACCAACTTCTGTTTATAAAAAACCAAAGAGAGTTTTCAGGAAGTTTAGTAGATCCTTATACACATAATGGAGACAGATTAAAATTAACCAAGTGGTGGGGAGATGCTTGGGGAATATTCTTCCTAGTGAGAGCAGCACTTAGTATCGAGGAAAACATGAGATTGTAGAGCTAACAATAGTTTGCTCCAAGAAATTCTAGTTGAATTTTCATGCGTAGTTAGGAGGAAACCATGGATTATCATTCCTTGACATTTCAAAGTATATTCTGTTCCCAAAGGGAATCCATGAAGCTGAAAATTCCCCAGATTCAATTATCCTTGTTTCGATGTAAATAAAACTCTTACTCGATGGAGTGGCTCCTGAAATACTGTAAGTTTCCATCTTCTGTCTGCTTCCCCCAACCAAAACTGAGTATTGGAAGCTTGACTTTAACAACAAAGCCATATGAACTAGACAAACTCAGAACTGGGCTGACCTCAAGGATGGGGCCTAGCTTGGAGCCAGATCAGGATTTAAAGGCACTAACTATGCTGTGATCACTGAAAGTTTATTATACACAAACATTTTTCTGCTGGCTTAAGAAAGAAAAAAATAAGAGACTAATTATGCAGGCTCAAATAATAACAATAAAAATGTATTATTCATTAAAACCTGTCTTGATTTTTAAGCTTTTAATAGCTCTAATAAATAGCTCTTAGGCAGGCACTGAAATTAAGATTTAAGTGCCAAAAAAGATAAAAATTGCCCACCCACTCACCACAAAATACTATTCCTCATCTATAACATGTGTTTCTGTTGGTTTTGCAATTATATTTGGTAGTCATCCTTTAACCAACTGTTTTCTTAGTTTTGAAAATATTGTCTCTAGTCAAGTTTCTTTACTGGTGTGATCTACAAGAAGTGGATATTTCTAAGTTCTGGGGAAAAAAGATTCTACACGTCAAAAAAGCACTGTGATGATGCTAATGAAACCATCGACATGAAAAACATGTCCCAAGAAAGTACTCTTTTTCACCAAAAGATCTCTAAGGAAAAACCCAACAGGACCACTTAAAACATATAAGGCACTAGTTAATATAGTCTCCTTTTATTGTGCAATATAGAATATATACAGGAAAGTACACGTAACATGCATGTGCAGTTTAATGTATAATTATGTCAGTCACTCAGGTAAGCATCATTCAGATGAAGAAATCGAACATTGCTGGCACAAAGAAGTCCCCCGTGTCATTCTTCCTGATCCCGTCCCCATCATCCTGCCTAGAGATAAGAGAGATCTTAGATTTTAAAACAATTACTTGCTTTTTAAAAAGTTACACTACCTATGTATGCATCCCTAAAAACAGAGTTTCGTTTTGTTGCTTGTTGAATTTGTATCTCTGGCTGCTTGTAAGAGGATTTCCTTTTTCGTCTTTGGTTCTCAGAAGCTTTACGAAGATGTATCTTGGTGTTGGTTGCACATCCTGAATCTTCTGTTGGTTTGGAAAAGTCTCAGCCATTATCTCTTCAAATGTTTCTTCTGGTCCATTCTTTCGCTCCCCTTGCTTTGAGCTACAGTCATACTTTCTGCAGGACTAGTTCTTCCCTGTCCATTAGATAAAATTGCAGGTAAGTTTCCTGTCTTTTCTAGTCATTTTCAGGTAATGAAAAGTCCTGCGGTCACTTTAAATTTTATTTATTTATTTACTTTTAGAGAGAGGGGAAGGGAGGGAGGAAAAAAGGGAGAGAAACAAAGATGCAAGAGAGAAACATCAATTTGCTGCCTCTCGCATGTGCCCTGACCAGGACGGAACCCAGGCATGTGCCCCAACTGGGAATTGAACTGGCAACCTTTTGCTTTGCAGGACAATGACCAACCAACTGAGCTACACTGGTCAGGGCTCCTGTGGTCACTTTAGTCCTTCAAATAGTTCAGTAATTAAAATGTCCACATAATAAAAAATGCCCATATAACAGTAGATTCTAACTTCTTTTTTACAAAAATTCTTCAACAGTTTTTTTTGAGATATAATTTACATGCTATAAAATTCACCCATTGTACATGTACAGTTTGACAATATTCGGTACATTTAAACAGCTGTGAAACCATTAACATAATCCAGTTTCAGAACATTTCCATCACCTCAAAAAATGCCCTCATATGTATTTGCACACAATCTTCACTTCTACCTCCAGGTCCAGGCAACTACTCATTTGTTTTCTGTCTCTATTTTTGTGTTTTCTAGAAATTTTATATAAATGGACTTACAAAAAATGAAGTATGTGGTCTTCTGTGTCTGACTTCTTTAACTCAACACAATGTTTTTGAGGCTCATCCATGTTGTTCCATTATCAGTATAAAAATCAATAATTTGTTCTTTTACATTGCTGAATAGTATTCCATTGTACACCTTATTCTATTCATTCGTTCGTTCATTCATTTATTCATTCATCAGCTGATGGTCATTTGAATTATTTTCAACTTGGGGCTACTCTGAATAAGTTGCTATGATCATTATGTAAACGTCTTTTGTGGATGGATGGTTTTGTTTCTCTGGGGTAGTAGTATTGCTGGGTGATATGGTGAGTTTGTGCTTGACTTGGTAAGAAACTGCCAAACTGTTTTCCAAAGCTGCCGTACCATTTTACATGTCTACCAGCAATGGAGGAGCATTCTCCTCATCCTTGCTGAAAATTGTTATTGTCTCCTTTATAGCCATTCTAGTGAGTGAGTAATAGTGTTTCACTGTGGTTTTAATTTGCAGTTTCCTAAGGACAAGTGTTGCTGAGCATCTTTCATATACCTTTTAGCTGTTCATATGTCACTGGTTTATTAATTGGGTTGTTCATTTCGCTATCAGATTGTAAGTACACACACACATACACACATCATATTGGTTATACATCTTTTATGACGTAAAGGATTTACAGACTTTTTTTCCTCAACCTTTTCACTTTCTTAATGATATCTTTTGAAGAACAAATGTTTGTAATTTTGATAAAGTCCAATTTATCATTTTTTCCTTTATAAATCATGCTTTTGGTATAAAATTTATGAAATTGAGAAACTGTCAGAGGGGTAAGAAGATAAACAAAAAAACATTGTCATGAAACCCTAGAAAAGATAAAGTTTTAGGAAGAAAGAGGCTAACCACTAGTGCCAAAACCTGCAAAAGTTTCAGAAAGGGTGAATTAGGCAAAAAAGATCATTAAATTTAGTGAATAATTAATAATCATAAAAATTAATAACAACAATAGCTCTTCCTGTAAATGGCCTACGTTGAATTCTGAAAATGGTTTACTATTCACTTGACCCAGAAAACCCCACAAAATCATGCAAATTGAGAGGTTCAAATCTTTGTGTTCACTCTAAGAACACTCGAGAAACTCCCCAGGCCATCAAGGGTATGCCTATCCAAAAAGCCGCTGAGTATCTGAAGGATGTCACTTTACAGAAGCAATGCGTGCCATTCCATCATTACAATGGTAGGTGGAAGGTGTGCCCAGGCCAAACAGTGGGGCTGGACACAGGGTTGGTGGCCCCCAAAGTGCTGAATTTTTGCTGCACATGCTTAAAAGTGCAGAGAGTAGTGCTGAGCTTATGAGTTTAGATGTAGATCCTCTGGTCAATGAGCACATCCAGGTGAACAAAGCTCCCAAGATGAGGCATAAAATTTACAAAGTTCATAGGCAGTTTAACCCATGCATGACCCCTTCCTGCTGCTGGACTGAGAGGACACTTATTGAAATAGAGCAGTTCTTCCTAAACCAGAAGAGGAGGTTGCACAGAGGAAAAAGGTATCCCAGAAGAAACTGAAGAAACAAAACCTATGGCCCGGGTGTAAATTAAGCATAAAATAAATGCTAATAAAAGTAAAACAACGACA